AAAACTTATGAAGTCGCAACATGATTCATGCAGTTCTGAAGAAGTTCTGAGCTGAGAAAAAATTTACCTGCTTTTTTAAGAGCCTGGATCTCGGCGATGTTTCACTGGATCGGTACAGCTAAGAGATATTCTGATAGGGCAAACCTCACCCTACAAAACCTATGAAGTCGCAACTGCGGAGGTCTTCAGCCAGCAGATTTGTAACAGTGGACTGATTTTTCACGATTTTTCATTATTTTATCATTCGAAATTCTAGATCTCGGCGATTATTGCCTGGATCGACCAACTTTCTTCGCAATACGTCATAAGAAAATTTACTCAATAAAATCTATAAATTCCCGCTGAGTTTCACTTCAAAACACACTATTTTCTAAACACGTTTATTTTAGATATTTATGCTGTATACATAAAAAATATGCTTTGAATGTCTCTTTTGCATTTGTTTTGCTTATTTTCCGCGCACCGGCGGCAACGACTTGGAAGGATAGAATCAGTCGACGTTAACGCTCCCCCCCCCCTCCCCCGGTCGACGTTTTTGGGAGGTGAGTGTCCGGCACTACCACCTTCACTTTTGGCCGGCCAGTGGAACCTGGGACCACCTTCAGTTTTGGTGGGCTCGGCTCCCCCCATCGCACCTCTGGTTAGCGCATGTGCCAAAAGAGGTGCCAGTCTGTGCCAAAGAGCGCCAGTCTCACCTGGCTGACCTCCTGCTCAGTGTTACAGGCGTTAATGGGGAGGCGTGGTCTCCATACGTTCGCTCCAATGAGGTTTTGTCCTTCCGGACCACACCCCATTTTTGTCCTGGGACTTGGCGATGTGTTGCGCTATGAGCGTCTGGCGCTTTGTGGTTGGTGATACTTTCTCTCTTTGTTGATACGGCTTACGGTGCATATGGTTCAGACTTCTCACACTTTTCTTTCAACGAGCAGCGCGGAATATCGACTTATGAAGTAGAGACTAAGGCCTCGGACAGAGTTCAAGTGATTTGATCGTCGCGATTCAGTCGCTACAAGACAACTGTTACGAGTTCATTGCATACCGATCAGCTTGCATTTGGGTTGTGATACTTTTCCAGCTCGAAATTTTTGAATGTAGGATGAAAATGAATGAAAAGCGCGGCGATTAAATCGCGACGATCAAGTCGCGTGAACTCTGTCCGAGGCCTAAGGCCATTGAGTGCGCGATTTGATCGTCCATTTCCATTCATTTTCATTTCACATTCAAAAATTTCAGGCTGGAAAAATATCATAACCGAAATGCAAGTTGATCGGCATGAAATGATGTTGTAACAGTTGTCTCGATCAAATCGCGTGAAGTCTGTCCGGGGCCTAAGGCTTGAGATATACCTGTCGATGGGTCGCTATAGCTGACGATAAGACGCTGCCAGCAGCAACGCCTTTTGTGCGCATCGATTGACGTCAGGCGACGCTGCTGCTGCTAGCTGCTGCAGCCAACGCGAAACAGACCCGTTATAGCTAGCGATGCGGCGCTGCTGCTTGCTGCCCGTTGCTGCTCCTCGCTGCTACGCGATATGAAGCTCACTTTTGGTGAGCTTCTCTCAGCTGCTTCGTGCTGCTAACGCTGTTTTTGCTCGGATTTGTCCATTTTTAACATATTTTTGAATGACCTTCTGAAGGATTTCTGGAGCACTTGTTGCGAAACTGAACCATGACAAATTTGCAGGACCAAAACGCAATGCATCAATAAGAAATACATTAAAGAATGGACAAAGTCGATTCTTAGAATTGGATCTGAACAACTGCACAGAACTTTTGCGAAGCAAAAGTGAAATCAAGTTGGAGAAACGATGAAAAGGTAGAGGATTTTAACGACCTAGTAACACGTTTCGGACTGCGAAATCGCGCGCGGCGAAAAAGAGTGTACTTTCAGCCGTTAGCCAACAAAGGAACCTTATTTTATGGACTGTGTGCTACATCTGTAATCAGCATGTCAGATAAGCTCCATACCCAAAGTTTTGAGTGAAGTCGAAGTGTTTGAAATTTGTCGCTTGAGAAGAACTTTCGTGTTTTCCTGAAAACCAAGGATAAGAACTCAATTCCTAATAGTACCTGAAAGTGTCTGTGTTGCACACGGTTAATCTCTTTCTAACGGTTATGAAATCTTTGCAAAACAGTCAATGGGCTTTCAGAAAATAATCAAAATCTGCGACCTATGCTTTTTGAGATAGTCAAGTTTCACAATTTTTGAAAACTTTTATATCAACCCTCCGAAAAAGTGCAAGTACGCCTTTATAGAGCATGATACCTTACAGAATGCAAAACTACTTTTTCTCCTTTCCATAGTTTGTCATACATTTTTAACAGAATTTCAACTGATGCTACCGATTTCCATACTTGGGCAGCTAAATCCTCTTAGAACATCAAAAGAAGAGCAGCTCGCACACTACTCGATGCAGCATTTTCTCCTCTTTCTAACAGATGTTTTTTGTGTCCGATTTGTTTGGTTTCCGGGGAGAAATCATCATAACTCATTTTTAGCGAGCCCCAGGCTGTATCCGAAAAACTCGAAATTTGATATTTCGAACCCGTAAACCCTCACTTGCTTTGTAAAATTTAGTGCTAACTGTAAATCTAATGCTAACTCATAGTACCATCTTGGCAGTCTTTGATTTTCTGAAAGCTCATTGACTTTTTGCAACGATTTCATAACCATTAAAAAGAAAATGGAATTCTGCATCGAATGCTTCCAAGATCTCCTAGAAACCTTTGTTACATCAAATGTGGCCCCGTTTAAAAAAAGCGAAATTACTTTTAAAACGGCCTTATATATACAGGGTGTCCCAAAAAAATGTTTAGAACGTTTGATCGTTAATATCTCTCTTCCCAAGAAGTATTTTGCCTTGCTTCAGGTACCGTTTTGTAGAGCTGGATTCAATTTAGATTTCCATTATAGAACGAATCACCCATCTCTCTTCATTACTGTAGGGTTACGGTAGAAACTTCAAAGAGGGTTTTGAACCATGAAAGGCCATATTTTGCCTCAGAAAGGAAACAAAACAGCCTGAAAACTTTTACACCAGGCTAATTAGAATTGC